GCCAAGGCGACAGATGCGGACGTCGTAACAGTGGGTCAGTATAGAGACGCGATGTGATCCCACGCATGACGTACACACAGATTTGAGAGTGACAGCGTCACGCGTGTGGCAACCTAACATGCACATGAAGTTCTTGCTGATTTGGCTACTACCTCTCTGGACCCCACTAACAGACATGGTCCGACCGGACTGGGAGGAGAAGTTGCAATCAGCGCTCGCTGCGATTGCTAGGAGGGCAAATCGACGAATCATCATGCGTCAAGTGGGCGACCGATTGATTCCTATCGGCGTCTCTTCCTCTCGTATGGGCGCCGAGCTGCCAGTTGGAGATGGGCCTGGAGGGACCATCATTCTTCGCGAGGGCGAAAATTGGGGTCAGCAAGCGGGCACTCCGGGCACGGAGAGGAGCAGCCGCAGAAGGAGGGGTCCATTCGGACTGCCCGGTGATGGACCCGACATGGAAGAGGTGAGCGACAGTCGACGAAACGTCGCTCCGCGGCGTTTTCAGCTACCTTACTCACTTTTGCTTCATGTACTCCCTCAGCTGATGATGGCAGAAGCCATGCGTCTGAGCTTGTTAGAGCACGAAGAACAACAAAGACGCCAAGCTGCCGCTTCTGTCGCAAGCACCTCTGCGGCACCTGCCTCTGCTCCTGCAGCTTCGACTGCTTTCTCGAATACGTCTGAAAGGACCGCTTCAGCTTTGCCAGCCTTACCCAACTCTGCCAGTGTCCTCCACACAGATTCTCCACCGCGAACACAAACTGCCAGCAGCAGCTCGACACCTGCCACCATACCCGCGCGAAGTCGTGCTGCTGGTGGTTCGAGCTTCTCTGAAGACGCGATGCCCTCCCCCGGTCCGGCTACAAGGGTGACATCAAGTAGCTCGCCTTTGTCGACCAGCGCTGCTCTGAGCACGTCGACGAGTCGACCCGTGGACTTCGGCCTTACTCCTGGGATGATGGCAGAATTGTCGGAACTCGTCGAAGGTGGAGATTCGATCAGGGCCCACAGAATCGAAGAGCGCCACAGCGATGGCCAGCTGGAC